TTTTCTGTCCTCCTTTTTATGTAAACCTTGATGACTGTAGTAGCATTTATTTGTTGCGTCAGTAATGTTATCATGAATGAAGAAATGTCTTACGTTTGTGATCTGTGGCCGGTCGCCTCCTAATCGAGATTTTGTTTAACTGTTTTAAGTTTTTGTCCGCTCTCTGTTTTTATTTCTATGTACTAACAAGTTTTCATTCACTCTGTTGTTGAAATGCGAAATAATTTTGGTCATTGTCGTCTGACCTTGTGTAAAATTAAACCCTAGGAAAAGTAGGCAGTGCACATTGTCATGTTTCGTCAGCAATCTAACAGATTTTTCATTCAAACAATTCTGTTTTGAAGGCAATGAGAGAAATTATTGCCGAGTATGGAGCCCAAACTTCTACAAACTCGTCGGAAACTGACAGAGCTGAGAAAGGTCAAGAATTCAGCAGACCCGCAAGCGGGGAAAGTGCGATGCAGGTAAGCTTATATATTTTTTTACTTTACCGCTTTTCTGTTTACTTTCTAGTGGATCACTTCATATAATATCCTCTTAATATATATTTTTCAGCTTGAGCGAGAATTGCAAAATCATATTGTAACACCACAAATGGAGGATGGACTTACAGCAAGATTGTGGTAAGTCTTTTTTTACCCAGTTTCAGGGTGGGGAGCCATATAGTGGGAGGCTACAACCAAAAAATAATAATTCTGAGCACAAATTACAACAGAAAGTGCACACTTGTATTTAAACATAACAATTAAATGGTGGCAAAAGTTTTTATTTATTTATTATTATTATTTTTTTTTTTTGGAAATGTAATAAAGTATTTCCTCTGTATGTAGAGTGAAAATGCTGGTGAGATTGGGGACCCTTCACACAAAACTTTATTGGCCCACCCCCCACCCCATGCATTTTATGCACAACATCAAACAAGTTTAATTTTTATTTCATTTCTATTCATCAGTTGACCTCAAGCTTATATTGTTGATGAAACAGTTCATAATAATTATATTTTGGTTAAATTATTCAAATAAATAATGTCCCAATTCATTTTCCATGGATAGAAAACAAGCCAAGATGTAGCTGGGTCATTTGTCTCCTTTCCTTTAGCTACTGCAGAACCAGCTGTTCCTGAACCCTCTGTGTCAGGCTATGATCTTAAGGACGACTTGGCAGAGGATATTGACAATGATGATGATTGCTACACTACCAATTTCAAGTCAGGTTGTCTTTGGTTTTTCAGAAACAGTTTTTTACCCTAATCTATTCTGTAAAAAGTAGTAACACTTACCTTTTACTGGCTTTCTACAAAAGCTGAATTAGAGACCTTGATGGGAGAAAACCAACCTGGTCCATCAAGAACAAATGGTGGAAGGGAAAGAGGGCGAGCTCAAACATGCAGAAAATGTGGACAGCCACGAAGAGGACATAAATACACAGCTTGAATAAAGCTTTAATAATTAAAAGACATGGAATATCCCCTGCAAAATACATGATAAGCTCAGGTCATATGGGACACCTAGTCCTATGTGTTCCTTAAACATTTTTTGAATCAGAACCCTTGAAACATTGTTAAATGACTGGAGGGTAAAAACATGTGTACAGACAGTCTAGAAGTTAAAATGAACAACTTTTATTGTTCTTCATCTTCAAAGCCATGATATTGTCCACTTTCACTTGGAAAGGCTGTCCTTATTGCTTTGTAGGGACAGCATGGCAAAGGATAGAGTCTGGAGTGACCAGCAAATTCCCATAGAAGACGAGCAAATTGTCTGTAAGACACTGAACAAAGAAACCTATAAATAAACAAAAACAAATAGTTTACTCCATTCATCCCCATCTGGCCCTGGTTGTTCAAAGAGCGGATAATTTTATCCACTGGATAGGTTGCTATGTGGCACAAAAAATGTGTGCAAGAATTTCCCTGTAGTTCTATAATTTGTGTATAGAGTAGAAGCGTATGTCTAATTTAAGTATGGGATTGTGTGGAAAACTTGCCAGAAGTGTTGTTTGAAGTACATTTGCGAAGCTGGATAGTGACTTATCCACTGCATAAAGTTATCCGCCTTTTGAACAACTGGTGCCTGGTCTTTTCTACTTCAAATAGTTCTGTTTCATGTGCTTAAAACAAAGGTTTCTATTGAAAGGTAAGTGTTACATAGTTCTTTTGTTTAGATAAAAGCTTTAACAATAACAATATTAATATTTGAGCTTATTACTAATCATCACCATGTGGTTACCAAGCCACACAAAAACAAATAAACATTTCCAGAATATAAAACATAGAATAACTCACTCTGTTCTGTTTTTAGACCTTGGCTGAACAAGGTTCGGTAATTTTTTGCCAGCTTTGGTCTTAAGAGTCAGATATGCCACTTCAAGAACCCATCGGTTTAAGCGAACATCCTGAAAACAGGGATGAATTGTTACGCAATCACCTTCTACTTCACAGCTCATAATCTCTCCCACACGATCTATCTCCATGCAACAAATGCATTCCCCCGGTTTAGTT